AGAAAAGCTTATTACGTTTTGATAATAGAGAAAAATGGGGAACGAAATATATTTAAAAATGCAATTAAATAAAATAACATTTTCCTGAGGTCTTTTTCATTTAAGATCCATGCAGTTATTCTAGAAAAAAATTTTAAAAAAAATCTACAAAATAAACGCTAAGCTAAATACTAATGACTCATAACCACGTATATGGCATGCACTACAAATGAAAACAGATATAACTATGTGAGCAAAGGCGATTGGTGAGCAATGATGTCATATTATATTATATATAGTAAATTTAACAAGAAATGAATTATATAAAGCATGCTGCGAACGTGATAATACCCGATACTTGCCTATGCATGCCGGTTATTGTTTTGTTATTGCATCCTATGGAAGGGTCAGCAGCCTATATAAGCAATACATGTAATCAATTGTTTGAAAAGAATCACGCATTTGTGACGGAATGTAATTTACCCGAGTATGTTATGAAAACAATATAGCTTGTGCAAAAAAAAAAAAAAAAAAAAAAAAAATTAGATAATGATTCTATTTCCAGATAAAATTTAAGGTCACAATGTTGATTTCAATAACCAATGGTGCACCCGATACAAAGGACCTTCGGTGTATATTTTTATCGGTCGCCAAGATCGCCTAAAGTCTTTATCATGTCTAGCCGTGAACTTCAAGATCTCTCTCTCTCTCTCTCTCTCTCTCTCTCTCACTATATGAAACATAATGTGAAGAGTAAGCTTTCGTTGTCATCAATTTTAGTTATTCTTAGTGTACAACATAAGAGTAAGGGAATAAAAAGCAAAAATTCGATAATTAAATAATTTTTTACGGGCTAACCTTGGCTACTCTGCTCATACTGAATATATCGTCAGCTGCCGTTTTCGTTTGTTAATTCCATTTTCTTTGTCTCGGAACATAATATGCATATGCATATCCATACATATATATATATATATGTATATATACATATTATATAACCAATACGTAATGATACAGATATATATCTGAACTAAACCCACAGATCATATATAATCTAAGCCAACATAACTGACGATCCCTTGATATAATTCAAATATATCGATCCACGATTTATGGCGTAAGCACTAAAACATTGCATCTATTATTCATCGTGATCAAATATAGTTGTCAGTTGTTTGGTACAAATTTATCTACGTTACATATTTTTTAAAAAATTAACATATCCCCTAAAATGAAATTAAAACTGCATATTGAGAGTGGCCTTGCAAGGCCTTTTAGACAGTCTTACCTTTGGATATGTATGAGTGTACAGAAAGAAAAAAAAAAAAAACTACGTAAATAAATATCTACATCATTTACACACATTTACATTATAGAAGTAAACTTGCAATCATTTGCAAGGTGTTAATGAATTGTATTAAGTCTAACAAAGCATTATGTACGTATGTATTATAAAAACAAAAAAATTAAAATAAAAAAAAAAATAAAAATTAAAGAATTCTTTAGCTTAACAGCTTTTTGATTCTAACGTGGAGACAGGTGTATAGATAGACAGACGGATTAATATAAACAGAAATGCCCGGTCGCGTATGCATGTCATGACTAAGCTGTACATTTCAATTTATAGACTAACTAGCTAAGTAGAACTAAGTAAATTTTATCCTTCGTACACTTTAAACAAGTAATAGATAAGAGTTGGATCGCGCTACAACCGTCAACAAGTCCTTTTCATTGCACTGCGTTATTGTACACTACAGCACGGCCGTGGTACGCGATATATTAAGTGTGTGCGGACGTGAAGAAAATGATTTTAAACTTATCCGTCCGTCTGTCACTCTGATGTCTGTCCAAGTGTTTTCGTATTCAACCTACAGATCGTAATTTTTAAGATGTGTTGAGAAATTTCGGCACACTGACGCGCTTTAACTTAAAGACAGATCGTTCATATATAAGGATTATCATGAAAAGTAGGTCCTTCTTGTTTTCTATGACGGAAACTGAAAAATATTAAGCTTTTCGGAAAGTAAATTAAGTTTGCTAAATTTGGATCATAAGAGCTGACATTTTTGATACTCTCCACTATGAGGACTTCCATGACAAGTAAAGGCATACTTGACTGAACTGCAACGAGCGAAGTATAAATATATGCCTTCATCGACTGTTATGTTGTTACTTGTTTTTAAAAAGATTCTATATAACCTATGGAAAGATAAGAGGAAAAAAAAAACTACGGTCTCTGTGCAAACACAAAAAAGATAAATATAAATAAGTTTTCATGCACAAAAGTTTATAAATATGAAGAATTAATAAAGAAAGGAAAGGAAAATTTTCAAAAACAGTTTACGCACTTTTTTGCCAAAAAAAATTGTCGAAAATTTTGTAAAACAACTCCTTCCATAATCCGTTTTATAAGCACATGCATGCGCATACTAGCCGGCATAAGTGCAAAGTACGAAACAAATACAACAATAATAATAATTATTAATACTATCATCGCTTCCCATTGTTCTTTATATTGTTTAGCAATTCGTCTTTGTTCACTTCAACTATCGCATAATCTAAAGTAAAAATAACGAAATGGTTGTCTTCATAAATATTTAGCATATCGATCACTATAACCCGGGACCGATACATACATGTCGTCTCTAACGAGAAGAAATTGTACATTATTTTTGGAAAGGACAAGTCCCCAAGCCATTCCTACTCAAATTTCATATCACTTTCGGTTGTCTTTTTTTCTGCCTTCAAATGACCGACTACTCAGAGGACCACCTCTTTTCGTGTGATATAACGGTGACGGTTAGAACGAAGTAAAGAAAGGGGAAAAGATAATGGGGTGGCTGCAGCCTAGTGCGTATGTGACCAATCGACAAATGTTATTTATGCCTTCACCGACCGAGCTCTTACTACGGCTACGACCAAAGTAAACTCTGCTGTATTTGAGATTTGAAGCCGCGAGCATTGGCGTTGCAGTCGTTGCATTCTTATCTATTTGGCTACTGGCTGGATGACTGCAATGGCAAAATTGCATAAATTCAAGTTCGAAATTCGGTTTAACTCATCGTATTGTTTAGACTTGGGTCCAGGACAAAAATATATCGATGAAACTATAAGGTCATAGTAGAAATGGGACGGCATCTTGAATCTGGGGACAAAACGTTCTATGAAAAAGGCATTAAAATATCGAAAGAATTTTGGACTGATTGTATCGGTCTTAAAGGAGACTCCTTTGATGAGTAAAAACGCAACTAATGCTCATTCTAATTAAATCCCGGGAATTATTGTCCGATATATTGAAAATGGAAATAAGTTCATAAGAAGCAGGCTTGTTGTGTCGTGCATTGTATTTGTGTTTTTACACACTCGCCCCCGAGGAGTGTACAGATAAATACCAGAAGGAGGTTTCGGTGAGACCATAAATTCAATTTAAATATGTCTTTCTATCCTGGCCGCAAAAATAAAACTATAAGCTTTAAATTTGGCAGAGACATTGCAAATTCGCGCACACAAGTTGAACATAGGAACAGTATAACGTAAGCTGAGTTTACAAACCCCCCAAAAAAAAAAAAAATGCATTTTTTTCATGTTACTCTATGGTTAGTCGCCACTGAATATTACCAAATGTCGAAATTTAATTTTTTGGTTTTTTTTTTAAGGAAAAAATGATGGGTGCAAAAAGTTCGACCATAGCCAAATATAATTTTTTACTTTTAATTTTTCTTTCCACTTGAATCTTCGACTAGAACGATTTAAATAAAAAAAAACAAGTAGACTTTGCGGCCATAGAAGGACTACCCGTTTATAAGGAACCTTATATCTAATGGAGTCTAAAATATGGACACACGTGGTTTAAATTCAGTTCAGCTAATATTTATATTAAATTTTTATTAGCGACATAAAATATTAAAAATTCGACTTTTTTGACATATGCAGATTTTTTTCATGAGAATCCTTATAGGCAGTGGTGTCCCAAAATATACACCTATTTGATCCAAATTTGATACAGTTGTGTTTTATATCAAATTACTTTTATCAACCAATTTTTATCATAAAATAACAAAAATTGGACATTTTCGCCATATAAAAACTTACTTCCCATGAGAATCCTTTTATGTGATAGGGTATTAATAATAGTTGCAAATAGTTCAACGTTAGTCAGATTGGTTTCTATGTCAAATTACTAGCATGTACTAATTTTCAGTTATATGAGAGGAGGTTAAAAAAATTAGCCAATCCAATCCATATTTTTCTTAGCAATTCAGAACTTCGCGGGTATTTTGTGTTATAAATAAGTCGTTATGTGGATAGTGGTCGAAGAAGTCGTTCGTCCTAGACCCAAATCACATTAACTTTATCAAATAGTCTCACAGATTGTTACCTATAAGATGAAAACAAAAATAGATGCCCAGACATCAAACAGATGGACAGACGGACAAACTTAGAGCGACTCCGATTAGAGCGATGGCTATGAATACCTATTGTCGTGCATCACCGGGTACGTTAAAATTTTCTGATCATCTGATGCACACTTTTCATGCGTTAATAAAAACAAACCGTAAATAAAAATTTTTTAATGCAATTAATAAAACCGTTAGAAGAGTCGCCTCAACCAGCCATTCAATCAATGATGGTTGGTAACTGCAAAACTAGGATCGCCAAAACAACTATAATCTGTAAGATGAAATTTTGCAATGAATCGCTTGAGCGGGTTAACACTATTCAAGAATCATATGGATTCGTCAAAGGGTATTCTCATATATGTGTCAGACCGAAGACTTATTGAGTCATGTTTTACATACGTGATAGTAAATGCATTTCTTTCGCTAATTTTGCAGTGCTATCCTTTTCACTTGAAAAAAAAAAAGAAAAACTTCCCCCACTCTACCTTGTCCTATCTACGCTTCTCATACGTTCTATAAACGAATTTTTCTTATTAATGTTCGTTTGCTGATGCTTCGCGTCTTTTCGTCTTTCAGCTACTCACATATATATGGTAAAAGAAAACAAAAAAGAACACTTACCACCATCATAAGGTAACCGGTACTTGTACGATTGTTTACAACTATTACGAAATAAATTTCTTTAATCTAAAATCGTAAAATATCGCGTCCTTTTTTTTTTATCATGATTATGTTGTTTTTATTGTTATTTAATTTTTTTTTTTTTTTTTTTTCTTTTTACTAAAGCTTGTTGTCAATGTTTTTTTTATTTGTTCTTTCTCTCATAGAAGGACTTGAAAACACTCGGCTTATTTGTTTTTTTTTTTGCAATTGAATTTTTTCAATGTAATTAAGGTAATTAATGTATTTTAAAATTTTTCATTTTCTTTTTTTTTCTACTGCGATTCTATTCACCTAACAACGTAATAGTCAGAGTTACAAATGTTCTCTAAAACAAGCAATAAATGCACCGCATTGCATCCATTATATTATTTCTTTTTTTTTTTTTTTTTTTTTTTTTGTTTCTATTACACGTGAAAGTTTTTCAGTTAAACAATGGTTATTTTTTCCTGAATGAAAACCATTTGCAGCGTAGGTAGAAGAGAGCGAGCAAAGCACAAAGCTTGAATATATAGATATGTATCTCATACGCCTGCATAGAATTTCGTAAGAAAATGCAGAATAGAAGAGAACAAACTAAGCTCGATATATATGTATATATGTGTATATATATATATATATATATTTGTATATATATATATATACATATATATATATATATACAAAAATATGTATATTTAAATAAAATAAATTCTCAATCAGCTTGACGCAATGCTTTCGGTATAACCGAAAATATCCCCAAACTATATATAACCTTACGATTTTGTAATAACCAGCAAAAGAAGAGCGAGATTTCTCTTATCCGCATATTGTGTTAGCCGTCTATTGTCTTTTATTCTCTATTTCTTTTCGCTAAATGTATTAAAGTAAATTTTGTACCCTACATCACTTGTCGTACAAGGATGTACAAAATTTGTGCGGATGTATACAGCACCCCGAAAGAGCTGAGAAAGATTCATAATCATCATAGTGATTCAAAATCACTTTCTTAATCGATCTAAGCTTGCCCGGCTGATGCCTGTCCGTGTACTCTTGAGTTCAACCTAGATATCAATCCAGTAGTGCATCGCAGAGTGATTTAAAATCACTTTCTTAATCGGTCTAAGCTTATCGGGCTAATGACTGTGCATTCTTAAGTTCAATCTACATGTAAATCGGATCATCTTTTCTATCACTGTCCATATAACGGCTTCTTTTGCAAAACTCGCTAAGCAATAGTTTTTCGACATTCTAAATAAATATGAAAAGGTTTGGTTCAGCTAGGGCAATTTTTTGATCCCTTTCTCGCATAAAAAATTTGAAATTCCAATATTTCATGGCGAGAATTAGCACATAATAGTAAATTAATAAAGATATCAACCTTACCGAATTTGGATCATGTACGCCTATTTTGTGAATACCATCGTATATAAGGATTCTCTTGACACGTAAACCTTCATATGCCAAAAAAGCGTAATTGCTAATGCTCTATGATGAAAATTTCTTTATTATAGTAAGTTGACATCAAAATTTAGTGCAACAAATTTGAAGGACATGATTCTATCTCTCAGACCCTAGAGACTAGACTTGGATTTTTCACAAAAGATTTAATGTTTAATATTTAAAAATTTAGCTCAAAAATTAACGGTATGGAATTTGGATCAGAAAGGTCTATTTTTTAGACCCCAACATATGCAGGGGCTGCCATGAAAAATACCACCTTATATTACGTCAGAAAGTGAAAACTAAGAAAATTATTAGTAAGACAAGTACACCTTGGGATGAAAAACTGCTCTGTAAGGCGAATTGGGGTGTAGGGTGGATTTTGCCCGACCATAATGTTCTTACTTGTTTTGTAAGGCAAACGTAAACGTACTTATTTCACATAATTAAAAAAAAAAAAAAAAAATAGTGTCACATTTCAGAAAACAAGTTTAATTCGATATCAACATCGCGACCATATTTTAATGTAAATATCGTTTGCTTTTATAATCGACACAGAATCATCATTATCCCTCGAAACGTTTGGAAATTTTACATTCTCTTATTTTAATATAAATTTTTTTCAATTGAATTCTCTCTCCTCATTCAATTTTCTGCCTTTAAAGCTTTCGTAACTATGTTAAAATGCGCCGCAGATAGATTGGGAGTCTGATCGTATGCTTCCTTCCTATAGACATAGATTAAAATGAATGCGGAAATCGCGCATAAATGATAACAACAAAGAAAGTTTGCATTGCAAGTTATGAGAATGTATTGAAGGTCAACACGTGTAAGCCTCAGTTCAGAGAGTCTCATGACGATTATGATTTCTCGAACAATCGCCCCCGAAATGGGCAGCCAGTTGAATTTGATAATGGAATCCCAAAAATCTTCACTAGAATCTGATCAAAAATTAAGTATACAAATATTATGAGAAGCCTCGGGTCCTCATGGGCTACTTACTAGTGGTTGTGACCGCTCTGACAGTCGTCCTCGAAATGGGCGATCAAGTGAATTTGATCCAAAATTGAGAATACAAGAATTGTAGAGAAACATTCGGTCTACATGGGCTAGTGGTGACTGTGATCTCTCGGACAGGTCTCAAAGTAGGTGGCCATTTGAATTTCTTAATGAAATCCCAAAAATCTTTACTGGAATCTGATCTAAAATTAAATTTACAAGAATTGTCGAGAAAAATTGGATCGATACGGTCAACTATACCCAAACACCTACACGAAATCGGAAAAAACTCTTTGGCAAAGAATATTACCATGACAAACATCATTTGTTTGACGTGGCCACGAATTCGTGCAATATTTTTACAAATTTCATGCAGCGACACTAATTACCAAACTTGTCTCTTTTTATATTATTCATTCCCATATACTTGTATTCAATCCGTACGTTTATGTTTTTCATTTTGCTTTTCTGCGTCTATACACAGATAACATTTATCATTACTGATAATATTTAAATTTAAGTTTATTATTATAAGGGGTGTTTTATTATTATATCTTTATGATTATAGTCGTAATTATTATCTTTGAATTCATACGTTGGCCGAGAATATTATATTTGTAGGGAATATTTTTAAATAAATAAATAAGTTAACACTATGGTGGGACACGAGCCATCATTAAACACACGGCACTAACCTTCAGTTCTGCGTATGTCGACTTTTCAAAATAAGACGTTATATGAGAAATGATCGAAAAAGTGGTCCAATCCGATCCATTTTCATCCTGGTGGCAAAACACAAGCGTGTGAACTAAATTCCATCGAAATATCTTAAAAGTTGCCGCCTGTATGTTGATTTACGTCGATTTAGAAACTGATTCGGAATCAATCGGCATAATAAAAGGTGAATCTGTCTGAAATCCTCCCTGATGTTCCATATATCCGATCAAAGTAAATATACCTTTGTAGAGTCTCATCATGGAACGTTCCAAACAATTTTATTAAAATTAATTTAGTATCAAATAATTCACATGTTTTATGACATATCGTGAATATCAGGTCCTCGATTAACACTAATATACCAATAAGATCAATACAATGACTAAATTATTGCTGAAATTGCTACAGTATTGAGATTCGATCATAGGAACAATACCGACTGACAGCACAATCTCTGACCAACAAATATTTAAGAACTGTGCAGCTTTACATTACACATAGATGAAGTATTGTCAGGATTACCTAAAACATGGGGTTTTCAACAAGAAATATGATTTTAAATTTCAATCGTACTAAATATCAGTTTGATGAGTTTTCTGCACTAGAGGTACCAAATCACATTTTCTCTTAACATGACAGGATCATCTGCCGTGCAGTGTGCGTGAAACGATTACTCGATTGATTTAATAAAATCAACTTTGAAACCAAAAGGATTCTGTAACTATATATTTACTCGAAGGGTCTCATGTCTGGGAAGGAATCGTATATCTATCTCTATTGAAATGGGCCAATTTTACTTATTACATTCGTCGAATTGTCGCAGTCGCAGTCGCAGTCGCAGTCGCAAGAATGAAAACAGAAGCTGAAAATTTGGCAAAAGCATTCCTTTATCGATTCAAAAGCCAGCACTAAAAAATGATTGTAATCTGTCTACAAACATGCCCATAGTAAACTAGTAGACTATGATGACCTCGAAAAAAGTAGGAAAATCTTTTCGGTTTAGAAAAACTTTCTAGCCAGAACCATCCTTCATGGTTAGTCTAAAAATAAGAGTCACAGCTACCAAGTCCGTGTTCACAGGTTCAAGTGGCAGTGGCGTAGAGTTTACTTTGATTGCATCTATAGTGAGTGCTCAATCAGTAAAGACAAAGCAAAATTATCGATTGGTCGCACCCATCAGGATGTCACTACTCCACACGTACCCCTTTTCCTTTCGGCACTTTTTGTGATCCACGTCGAAGAGATATTGCTTGAGAGATTGGTATAGAAAACCGACGAAAATAATGAATGAAAAGACACGCCGATAGTACACACACACAACACATGACTTTCAAATATCGCTAGTATGCTCTTGTTCACTACTGACGAATGGCGCCGTCGAACTAATTTTTCGTTCAACGAACATTGTCCAAGGAGTGAACAAATAGTAGAACCAGCCAACCAGCCAAGCAGTTGACAACCGTACCAAAAATAATAAAACTTAATACCTTTGGCTAACTTTACCCGGATTGCCTCTTTCTTCTGTTATTCAACAAGTAAACAACCGCAAATTCGCTGGGATGTGTAAAAAAGATATTAGTTTCCTTTCCTCACTATTTTGAATATTGAATATCTACAAGAGAGAATAACTTTTATAATTAAAAAATGAACAATATGTCAAGATAATTTCATTTAGAACTCCAACGTATGTTATTTTCGACTGATGCATGAAAATTTTTCTAATAAGCCAAGTTAACACCAGTAATCATATATTGGCTGACTGATTAACTGTACTGGTCGATGTACAAAACAGTCAGATACCACCTATGTTTTTGTGTAATGATTGGGCAAAAAAGATGAAAGAGGAAAATGATCAAAAATAACTACAACAAAGAGCGGAGGAAAAAAGAAAAGAACACTCATGGAAAAAAAAAATTTAGAATAAAT